AGTTGTTTTATCGCGCGATAAGTAGTTCTATCGCGTGATAAGCTGTTCTATCGCGCGATAAGCTTATCTATCGCACGATAATGTTGATTGCAAATTTTTTTGAATGAATGGACTCAGCAAAACTTATCGCGCGATAAAGTCATGAAAATTTTTGTAGGTGGATGGCCCTTGAGAGCCACCGTAATTTACTGTCATGTTAAGTGTCTAAACCATTTATTGTAATGTTTGGTGACTAAACCATTTTTACTTAATCCCACACAGCTCCTAAAAACAAACCTGAAGTGGAATACTTTAAGATTGCTGACAACCGCCAAACAGCTTACCTGAATGGAACTGTTGAACTCAAGTGTAAATTACTGCATGTTGACTCTGATATGTGGCTGTTGAATGGCACAAGGATTTCACATGGTGATCGTCACAAAATGATAAGGGATACCACCATTTGCAAACCTAGAAAGCTGTTTACCTTGAAAATAATAAACGTGACTGAGAATGACGAGGGACGGTACACATGCTGTGGATATAAAAATGGTATAAAGGCAACAAAGGATCTTTTCCTTAAAACAGGTTTGTCATAACGTAAAGATGCATGGAATCGAAACCATTTCGTGCGAAGATTGACTTCAAAAGTAAAAAAATTAGACAATTTAGTAGCAACCTTTGGGTCTCACACAGCCGCTTCTCTAATCATAGCAAGGAAAAAAATAATTTTTCAAGTCAAAAATGGATAAACGACAAACAAATCTCCAAAAGACGGAAAAAAGAGCAATGAGACTAACGGCTAATTAATGCCTGACAGATTTGTCAAACACATTCAGGGACAGTTTTGGAACGCTTAGGTTACCTTTTGAGATCTCTAAATGAGGTTGGTTATACATCTTCAAATATACTTTACATTGGTGGAGATGAAATTACTTGACTTTTAGAGAAAAGCTGCTTCTTTCAGGAAGGTTGTTACTCGTTTTGTTACGAATTTTGGAGAACGAAGAAATCTGAGTTTCCCTGAAGCGTCAAATTCTAATTTTTAATTCAATTTAATTTAATTTAATAGCTTCGCCAACCGGCAGGGACACGGTAACAGCTTGCGCCAATTACTGCGGGCCCAATAAACCCACCCATCCCACCCCAGGGGAGGACATGCATCACACAGTAATCTCGTGTGTGGGAAATTAACGTCTCCTACCCCCAACCTTGCAGGAGACGGAACCTACATTTATTCGTCCCTATACGAGAAGACTAGAATATCTAATCATTTCTTGATGTTATAGAAAGGCAGCAAATTATTCTCAATTATTTTAAGACCCTGAGTGTTGGTTCGGCCGGGGCTCGAACCCTCGACCTCCCGCACAACACTCCAGCGCTCTATCCATTGAGCTAACCGGGAGGTTAGGACCTTGACAGAAACCTAGACAGACCTTATTGATGAGCCTTATTAACGATTTCATTTTCTTACCAGAGCCATGTCCAAGCGGTTATTACTGTCCCCCCGAAGGAAACACAGCTTTCCCTTTCCCCAGGTCTCCGCCGACACCAACACCTGGTATCAGCAAAGGTATGAAAGGTAACCAATGAATGACGACTGAGATATATATGTTATTGATACCAACGCACCCAAGGAGTCTAGTTAAGAGTATATTGAGTGGTGGATTGAGTGAGGGAAGGGGGGGGGGAATTTAGGGAGTGCGAACCCCTCCACCATTAGAACTGTGTGTATTTTTCAACAATTGTCTGAGACCAAAATTTCTCCAAAGACAAGATCATATATTACTACATAACTAAGAGCATTATAAAAATTTACTTAAACATGTTCCGCCCTTAGATTATTTAGGTTCCAGTGTAAATGAAAAATTCTCTGTTCTATAAGTCAACGTTTAGACCCATAACGATTTATTGTCTTTAGAGGATGACCGTGAAACAAGGCAAGGGAATGAAAGATCCGGTACCTCTAGTGTCATCACCCAAGGGGAAAATCTAAAGACAGAATTGGCTCCTGTCAGCAGAGGATACAGCTTCCACAGACCAGATCGCGTGAGCATATTATTGTTCGCCGCATTAGCTTTTACCTATATAACAAACGCAAGTAACAGTTTTAGCGCACATTTCACTGGGTGTCATAAAGCCAAAACTAAAGTATTTAAAACAACCAATCAGATGAAAGGAAACTATCACATTGAGAAGTCAAAGTAAGAACATGGACACTGGCAAAGTCGCGGGAAAACGAGAGAGACTCAGGCGTGATCGATTTTAGTCAGTTTCATCTTATTGTGTTATGGATGCAGTTTCGAGAGGATGACATTGTCATTTAAGGGAACTCCACTCTTTTTTAACAAATAGCGCTCAAAATGTTCCAAATGTACTTCTAAATTGATCTGGCATAAAATATTACCTTACCAAGTAATCTGACTTTTTATCGCTTTCCAAAGAAGGGTCTTAGAGCCACTTCGAATTTCCCGCGGCCTCCATCTTGAATCGTGCGCAATGCACTCTGGGCTGTTGACGTGTAATGGTTGCTCGTTGCACTTGAAGCGTATTTTCTCACTCTTGTTGATGCTACACTGTATATTGCTGTCGTCTGAAGAAAATTTTAGTAAATGTGTCACAGATCTTCCCCATGAGTTAGAGCCGGACCACTCTTCAAGAGAAGGGAGACAGGAAAGTAAAGCAGTAGGTCAAGAATATTGAGAAGCATCAGGTTTTCATTCTGAAAATGACGACCGCCGATTGAACACTTCATAGGGAAGATCGGTGACATATTCTGACAAAAATTTTCATCAAACGACAGCAATTTTCAAAACCGTGAGTGGATCCTCGTGGAAGGAAGCTTCAAAATCCTTAGAGATTTTTCAGTGGAGGATCGTATCAGAATCTTAAAGGGTCGTTGTGGTAGGGTTTATCAGAATCTCAGGGAGATCATTGTGAAAGAGAGTATGAAATCTAAAGGGGATTCCTTTGGAAGACAGTATCAAGCTAGTAGATACATAGCTTTTCCTAAGATCATTCTACTCATGAAATTTTCAGAGATCATCGGAGGATGAAAGTAAGAAACTAATGGTTTGTCCCTCAGGGTGGAACAACCCGCCTGGTTAGCTCAGTTGGGAGAGCGCCGGACTTCTGTGCGGGAGGTCGAGAGTTCAATACCGGCCGGACCAACACTCAGGGTCTTAAAATTAACTGAGAAGAATATGCTTCCTTTCTTTAACATCAAGAAATGGTTAGATATCCTAGTCTTCTCGGATAGGGACGAATAAATGGAGGTCCCGTCTCCTGCAGGGTTAGGGGCAGGAGACGTTAATTTCCCACGCACGAGATTACTGTGTGATGGATGTCCTCCCCTGGGGTGGGATGGGTGGGTAACAGGACCCCCGTTGATACCAGTGTTTACTACACTGAAGGGGCTATCCTGTATAAATATAAGATGTCTGTCTGTCTGTCTGTTAAATAATATAATTGACTCATTCACCTCTGTAGGTGAAAGTTCCTCTTCGAAATCAGAGAAGGACAGGGNATTCTAGTCTTCTCGGATAGGGACGAATAAATGGAGGTCCCGTCTCCTGCAGGGTTAGGGGCAGGAGACGTTAATTTCCCACGCACGAGATTACTGTGTGATGGATGTCCTCCCCTGGGGTGGGATGGGTGGGTAACAGGACCCCCGTTGATACCAGTGTTTACTACACTGAAGGGGCTATCCTGTATAAATATAAGATGTCTGTCTGTCTGAACTTCCCAAGTAAAATTCAATCGTCTCTACAGGAAAATGAGGGGGGGAGGTGGGTGGGTGGGGGGCATGGGATATCAGTATTTCCAGAGTGGCACATGTGTTCAGTAACTTGAGAAGAATTCCTTTTGAAATGGGGGAACTTACTTTCCTATCTTGATTGTTTCTGGTAACAGTGTCATCAAGATATCTTTTTGAGAGAACACTTCTTACAGTGCTTCAACGAGAAACGAAAACATAGCTTAACGAATGGGTAACATTTTGCAAAGTCAAAATCCAGAATTCAGTCAGGAGTCAGCAGTAACATTTCTAAGCGTCAGCGTACGTCCTGGAGAGCTAGACACAAGATGATCTTGCTTCAAGTATCTAATGTAATAGCCAGAAAATATTGGTAGAGCTTTAGAGCTAGGTGGGGCCGAATACACTGAGTACGTGAGGAAGGCTTGAAGCAAACGGGCACTGTCATCTCATTGCGAACATGGCTGCATTGAATGACTTGAGTAGACATTCTTGGAAGCAATTTCAGCAAAAAGAGTGACGACAAATTCATTTCCAAAACCCAAACTTGTCAAATTTATTCCTTTATTGAAGGATTATCGGCAATACCGAGGAACAATAACCCCAATGGAAAAGTTCAATTGCGTGTATCATTTTACGTCGGCAACTTTTACGTATGCCAAGATCTTTCTGACTGTCCATCACTCTTGTTTACTCCGCGGCTCCTTGGTAGATTCACTTTAATGGATATGTCTTCTTACATTGGCCTTGAAAGCAACGCCGTAACTTTGTACGGGCCGACATGGTAAACACGACACTGTTTTAAAGCCATAACATTAACTAGGAGTAATCTTGTTTTATGAAAAGTACTCCCCCATCAGCGGTGGAACACGCCGCAGATTACTAAACTACAGCTGAGATTAAAAGCAATCAAATTTACGTGACCACAGAGCAGGGAAACGGATTATAAGTACATTACGGCTAAGTCCACACACTGATCTGCTGGTAATGAAAGCTTGTCAAAAAGTTGTACAAAGTGTAAATATACATTAAGTAAATTACATTCTTTGGGCTTTTGAAACTGCTCAACAAAAGGTCGTTTATTCCAATAATGCCATGCGTGGTAAACAATATTTCTCATCTCTAGCCTTTCTCACAAATTATCGTGTAAAATTTTACCATGTCCCTTGTCCCAGCGAAAGCAAATCTGAGTTTCTCCATTGAAAACATTCTCAAGGAAGAAAATTCTTCGGAAAGTTCTATAATAGCCAGACCGGATGATAATGATGATACAGCAATAGCTCTTCAACAAGGATCCTCTTCGCCTGAGAGATCTTTGACCAGTGATCTTCCATGGCTGGCATACACTAGATATTGTCCGCCTAAAATTCCAAGTAAGTGATATGAAATCTGTGTTTTCGTGTGTATTCTCAAAGGTCAACATTCTCATGGCTGTGATAAAGTTGAAGGTTTGTACTGAATTGCACCAAATCAGAGAATGCAAGGAAAAATGAATTAAGATTTTGGAATGACGGCAACAAAAAAAAGGCAAGATTTGATAAAAGCAGCCTTTAAGACTGCAGAAAAATACCCGCGAGTTCGTAAGTTGGAGGAATTGAAAAAAGGGTTCGATTTTGCCAAAATATCACCAGGCGACCCCTGTTTTCACACCTCGTGGGACAACTCAGACAGCTGTTCCATATCTATTGATTGTCAAGAATTACAGGTCAAATGAAGAAGTAAGACCTTAGCAGACTTTTTCTCTTGTAGGGTCGAAAAATCGTAAAACAATCAACAAGCGGAAAGTAAGTGGGAGCCCCAGGGTGCCATTCTCTTCAGAACAGCTACTGGAATTGGAGAAAAGCTATGAGGACACCCATTACGTTACTGGCGCCAAAGTTTCACAACTTTCTAGTAAGTTAAAACTTCCAGGAAACCGCATCAAGATTTGGTTTCAGAACCGCCGTGCGCGGGAAAAAAAGAAGGCAAGGAAGGTGGGAAAATATCAGAACCAACAACTGACTGAAAACGAAACAAGTGCCGAGACAACGATTACGCCTCAGGAAAAAATCGATCAAAATAGATACTGTTTATCACAATTTTACCCTGCTCCTTTTGGGAGGAGAGAATCCGCTTTCTCTCCAATGTTTATGTCTCGGTTAGTGTATACCGATTGTCCGTTAAAATGGAGGAATCTGAAATCAGTGCCCTATATATCAAACGTACCTCGGTTTCATAACCTTAAGTATGTTAACTGCGATCTGCACGAAGGAGTCAGGTGTGTTGTTCAACGTACATAACAAGTTAGATTTCCTTACAACAAACAATTCTGAGTGTGAAAACCCCTTACTTGCCAGTCCGTGTCTTGGATGGACTGGTAACGCCATGGCACAGACAACTGGCCCAGGCCATGCATGATTTTTTTTACTCTTGCCATAGTTAAACGATTTTTGTGTGACCGAGTCAAACTCGATTCGCAGCTTTAACGTGCGAAGAAGAACAAAAACGCAATAAACCGCCAGCAGCTGCTCATGACTCCACTGGTTAATTCAGTCTGCAATTTTTAATCACTTTATTCTCAAATAGAAATGCCAACTTAATGAAAAGCTTAGTTTGATCTTCTGCGGTTGTGGGTAAACCTGGTTTCATTTGCATTTCGGGATAAAATCTCTTATGTAGTTTGAATACCGCCGTCGTTTTCATTCGTAGGGTAAAATATGGAGATACTGACAACCTGTCTGTTAAACTCCTCCTGAGAAGATTAAATTATTGCACGCGCGGTTCTTACCAACTGATAACGCACGGCAAACAAATTTGGTTTTGGCGAAATTTTTAGAATACATTAGGAGATCACTGACAATGTTATAAGCTAATACAAGTCTACCTGAGAGAACTGAAGCACCGGAAATGTTTGATTGTTCATTTTATTGGAATAAGTAGGTTGTGTGTGTATGAAGTTTGATTGTGATGATCTATGGTTTATCCTTCTCAAAAAGTTTCGAGATTCATTGTTGTGCAAATGAAGTTTTTGTGGAGAACGTTTTTTTCGCAAACGACAATCAAACGACAACCTTCTGTGACCGACGCAAACCACAATGCATATATTAAACACAACGTCGGCATATTTTTAACCCTTGTCAAGACTTTGTACTTTCGGTTATTTGAGGTATACCGATGTACACTCCTATAAATACCTCTCTTTCACAAAAACACAAATCAACTTATCCAACCCGCTCGAAAAAGCCAGACATCTGGCGCTCCTATAATCCCACTCAATCACTTTAAAAAGAGACAAGCACAAGGAGGTGTGCCTATATTTCATAACAGATGATTGCAACCTTCATTCTGAATGTTTACTTTAAGGGCTCGGGTTTGCGTCAGTGGAATAGTTTTACTCAGTCAATCTTTACATAAGGTTTATACTGACTACACAGGAGCTACACTTATCAATAGCAACTCGGATTAACGTGACTGCTTGACCTACGGACCTGTATCTTTGCACGTGCATCCCAGACGTGCGAATTCCTTTTTTGCTAAACCTGTTTCCAAAAATATTCATCAGTGTCAGGATCATCTGCACACTTGCAGGAAATTGTCTTTAGCGTACATGCGGCCTTAAAATGATATATCACGAAGTATCTAGACACTCTTGACGTAATAAAAGAATTAGAGGGATGGAAAATGGTGTCTTGGAAAATCACGATTCTCGCAAATTTTTCATTCTATATGTTCTATCACCAAAGCTCGTCAGCCATCGCCGGCGGTAAATATTGAGGTCGCTCATTTCTTTCAAAGTTCTCCAAATCTACTTTTTGTAGCCGTGGGTCTCAAAATGTATAGCGGAGAAGTTTGTGTTTGATTGCTTACGTTTGAAACTACTAGAATATGGAAGGTGATATCGGAAATGCGAACTCAAAGCAGAGAAAGCTAAATGAAAAGAATTTTGAAACTTTTTTTAATTGTCTGAGTAAGGCGACTTAACAAGAAAACTGAAAATTAACGATAAACCATCTGCTTTCGGTTTCGGCTACATATCTCAAAATGTGTATTTCCTCTGAATGAGTATTTTTTCCGATGCTAATTTTCTTTCCTCGAGCGAAGTCATTGTCACGCATTTGCTATAATCAAGATTTTCAGTTCACGAAGGAGAAGCAATACTAATATCGTTTAATTGGTAGTTCTGCGAGCGTAGATGATATTGTTTTTGATCATGCGTGCATGGAGCTGATACAACAAGAAATAAAAAATATATCAACATAGCTTCTAGACAAGTCGTTATTGGTGTCATCTAGAGTACCATTTGTGCAAATTGTCGTATTACTCGAACTTTACCGCTTAAAATTTGTGAAAGTTAAAGCTCTTAATGAGCGCAATGAGTGTCGCAGAACCAAGCCCAAAAGTAATCACTACGGCCAATCAAGACAAAGGAAAATGCCGTAACGAGCCAATTAGAACTCGAAGTAAAAAGAAACAAACTGCCTTAAGGATGGAAAAATGAGAGTGTCAGTCCGCCGACCAGTTTGAGTTTTGAATCCGTTAGAACAAGTGGTACGAGTTGTTTAAACGAATATCAGAGCGAAGATAATACAAAATTAAACCAATCCCAATATCTTTTGACGCTCACTTGAAATTTGACTCGTTGTGGTGATAGCTTCCTTGCATAAGGACGCAACGACTAAACTAGCCCTAGCCGAAAGGCGAACTACATCGATTCGTTATTTGTTATGTTATCTACTGGTCGAAACATGATTTATTTCATATTTGTTGTTTGTAATAAGATCGCCAAACGGGAACAAAATATCCACCAAATTTGTCTCAATCTCAATATGTGGCTCCATAGCTGAGTGGGTAGAAGCGCTCGAATATTATCCTGAAGGTACGGGTTCAAAAATAATCGAGGCCTATTGTTATTTTAGAATTTGATCTTGTAATTGTTCTTAGACTATAGAGAAGAACTCGTTACGCCTCATCGAATTTACTGGCCAAAAAATGATTTATTTTCTATATTCACTATTTGTGACCAACAACATCAATAACAACAATTTTCTCATTACACAATAGAGCAATTTTCAAGTGAACGCCATAAAACCAAACGCAAAGTAATCTCAGCGACCAATCAGAACAACAGTTTACATTATTATTAGCCAATGAAACTCAAAGTGGTTTTAAGTTTGCATCTGATTGGCTGAGAGGATGGTGTGATTTTTCTAGACCAATCACAGAGCAGAGTTAGGTAAAAGCAACTGATACTCAGTTGAAAATTGTTCCAATAGGAAAAGGTAACAGAATCGATAAGAAATTAAATGGTAACAGTTCTAAAAGCTGGTGCCATTGTTCAAGTTTGTCTCGACTGATATAAAGACTTCCTCTCTTTTTTGCACGTCTTGATATAGCTTAGAAGTCTGAAGTATTACGTACTTTGCACTTGAGGTGAACCGGGGTCTACGGAACTTTCTGCTTGTGTCTTTTTTTCGCGAGCTCTTCGATTCTGAAACCAAATCTTAACTCTGTGCTCCGTGACTCTCAAAGAGGACGATAAATCCCTCACTTCAGATCCTGAAAGGTACTGGGTCTGAATGAATTTGGCTTCCAGTGCTGCCAGCTGGGATGAAGAGAAGGGAATCCTGGGATTTCTGTCCAGTTTATGTCGGCGAGAGCCTTTTCGAGTTTTCGATCCTTAAAAATTAAAGATTACAATAAGATATTAATTGCTGAGTAAGATTCTGGCTTGATAAGTAGTCTAAGTTAATCAAAAGCTTTGTTAAGTCCGGTGTAACGATTGTCAAGTTTAGGTCCAGCAATATCGTAGGCTTTCTTCCACGTGGAACCCTCTCGACATTGCTGCACGATCCTAGAAGGGTATTGGACACTTTCCACATATAAATCTAGGATATGTTCTTACGCACCTGCGAGCTATTCGTGATTAACTCAGTCGTTTCAACATCATACTAAAACATCATACTTGTCCCACATTTGTGACAAGACGGAGAAGACATCTTTTCCTGTTAATTGTATCTTGGCTACTTTACTCTATTCTTTAGATTTTTACGATTTCTACGATGATTTTTTAGACTTTAGTTACAAGCTTAGGACAAGAATAAAAAAATTAGTCCCTTCCGATTGTCGGCAACTACAGTCCCTACTAAAGAAAGATCCTAAACCCTTGTGACTGGCTTGAGACAAGATGAAATTGTCCTAACTAAAGAAAGATCTTAAACATTTGTGACTGGCTTGAGACAAGATGAAATTGTCCTAACTAAAGAAAGATCTTAAACATTTGTGACTGGCTTGAGACAAGATGAAATTGTCCTAACTAAAGAAAGATCTTAAACATTTGTGACTGGCTTGAGACAAGATGACTAAAATTCCAAGTAAGTGATATGAAATCTGTGTTTTCGTGTGTATTCTCAAAGGTCAACATTCTCATGGCTGTGATAAAGTTGAAGGTTTGTACTGAATTGCACCAAATCAGAGAATGCAAGGAAAAATGACTTAAGATTTTGGAATGACGGCAACAAAAAAAAGGCAAGATTTGATAAAAGCAGCCTTTAAGACTGCAGAAAAATACCCGCGAGTTCGTAAGTTGGAGGAATTGAAAAAAGGGTTCGATTTTGCCAAAATATCACCAGGCGACCCCTGTTTTCACACCTCGTGGGACAACTCAGACAGCTGTTCCATATCTATTGATTGTCAAGAATTACAGGTCAAATGAAGAAGTAAGACCTTAGCAGACTTTTTCTCTTGTAGGGTCGAAAAATCGTAAAACAATCAACAAGCGGAAAGTAAGTGGGAGCCCCAGGGTGCCATTCTCTTCAGAACAGCTACTGGAATTGGAGAAAAGCTATGAGGACACCCATTACGTTACTGCCGCCAAAGTTTCACAACTTTCTAGTAAGTTAAAACTTCCAGGAAACCGCATCAAGATTTGGTTTCAGAACCGCCGTGCGCGGGAAAAAAAGAAGGCAAGGAAGGTGGGAAAATATCAGAACCAACAACTGACTGAAAACGAAACAAGTGCCGAGACAACGATTACGCCTCAGGAAAAAATCGATCAAAATAGATACTGTTTATCACAATTTTACCCTGCTCCTTTTGGGAGGAGAGAATCCGCTTTCTCTCCAATGTTTATGTCTCGGTTAGTGTATACCGATTGTCCGTTAAAATGGAGGAATCTGAAATCAGTGCCCTATATATCAAACGTACCTCGGTTTCATAACCTTAAGTATGTTAACTGCGATCTGCAC